GGGATGTTGGTGGGTCCCAGCTGGGGGAGGACCTGTTAGCTCAGTGCAGGAGAGGGCACAGACTGGGGAGCTAAGGCCCGGCGGGGTGGGGTGTCCATGCTCAGCTCCTAGAGGGACCCTGGACTCCTGCCCCAGGCGTAGGCGGGAGGTGCATGGCCCCATAGCTGGGCCTCGGTGCCTCCTTTCTTGCCGCGGGGGCATCCTTCCCCTCTCCCTGGGCCCCGGGGACCAGAGAGGGAGAAGGCTACTTTCCAAGCACCTCCAAGGGCCAGGCCCTGTAAGGGGGGCTTCCCTCACTCAGGGTCCGAGGGACGGGGGCTGGACTGGAGCTAAGGGACAGTACGGTGGGATTCCCGGGCTGAGGGCTTGGTGTGGCAGTGCGCTTGTAGGGCCGGCTGTGCCATGTGGTCCAGGCTCAGTGACCCCGTGCAACCTCTCTGAGCCTCAGTTTCTTTCTTTCTTTCTTTCTTTTTTTGAAAAAGATCGGCCCTGGGCTAACATCCATGCCCGTCTTCCTCTACTTTATATGTGGGACACCGCCACAGCATGGCTTGACAAGCCGTGCATAGGTCCGCGCCGAACCTGTGAAGCCCAGGCCACTGAAGCAGAGCTTGCAAACCTAACCACTACATCACCAGGGTGGCCCCATGAGCCTCAATTTCTTAATCTGTAAAACGGGGGTAACAAGATCCCTTTGCTCCCAGGGCTGTGGGAGGGTGAGCCTGGATGGGGAGGTGGCAGCCCGAGGGCCGTGGGGCCCGTGGGGCCTGCTTTGCTTTGGGTCCTGGGGTGCCCTGGGCACTGAGGCTGGTCCACCAGCCGGCCTGGCCCGGGGTTGGGGGGTGTCGCAGCCCTGGATTCGGAGGCAGAGCTTACCTATTGTTTTTTTAAAAAATGGAGGTGAAATTCACATAACATGCAATTAACCATTTGCAAGCGTGCAGTGATATTTAGTGTGTTCATAATGGGCAACCACCAGCTCTCTCTCGTTTCATTTCAAAATTGGATTTTTTGTTTTAAGGAAGGACAGATGGAATTGAGCAGTCACTCAGCTTCCCCGAGCCCCAGTCTTTGTGACTATAAATAACGAGACTAACAGTAATCATGGTAGCTGATATGAATGGCACTTCAGGAAGGCGTTTTACAAATATGAACTCATTTAATCTGCACCTCAACCCGGAGGGGTTGATGTTCCTACATTGTCCACTTCAGGCAGCCTGGGGACATCAAGAAATTCGCTCAAAGTCACAGAGCAAGTGGACGTTGGAGCTGGTTTTACTCTTTGTCGTCCCCCGGGCACCCCTCTGTCGCATCCTGCCCCATGGTGGGGGACTGGCCTGTCAGAGGCCCTGTCCCTGCTCCACTTCCCGGCAAGGAGGAGCCTTCAGCCCAGACTGTGGCTAAATTAAGTCTAAATTAATTAAAATTTAATAAAATAAAAGATGCGGTTCGTCAGTTTCACCAGCCACATTTCAAGTGCTCAGTAGCCACAGGCGGCCAGCGGCTACTGTGTCCAGCGCAGATCTAGAACACGTGTCTACACTGGTGTCATTTATGTACCCTGCTCCAGTCTGTCTCGGGGGGCAGGCAGGGCGGCAGGAACACGCTCCCACGCGGATCCTGGGGGCCCCCGCGGGACTCCCCGTAGGAGGGGTGTAGGGCTCTGGGGTCAGCCCCAGCTCCCAGCCCAGCTGCGTCCCTGCCCAGTGCCGTGTGACTCGGGATCATCGGTTGTCCTCTCTGCCCCGTGAAAGGCTCGTGAGAAGATTCCGTGAGTTACTGCTCGTGGGTTAGCACGCATGGTGCTTGGGCCTGTACGGATTCAGTTAGTGGTCGCTGTTATTATTATGAACGATACTAATTTATTGTGGTTACACGTGTGTGTTTTAGGTTTCAACAGGCATCAGTGTTAGTTTCCAAGGCGTCGAGTGAGATACGTGGGTGAGCAGGTGGCATGGAGGCCCCTAGTCACCGCCGGGGGCGGCCTGGGACCAGGGTGGGCAGCCAGGCCTCGAGCTCAGCCCAGGGTGGGAGGGAGATTTCTAGCAAAGTCTAGGGAGAGGCCAGTGGCTTAGGGCTTGACTGTCACTGCCCCCTGGACCCCTGAGGCCTATAGCCTTCTTGGTGAGACCAGGAGGCCACCACTGAGTCCTCAGGGGAGGGCGTGAGGAGTTGGGGGTGCACACTTAGAGCCTGAGAAGAGCACCAGGCACTCTGGGCGGGGGGTGCGGGGGGCTCAGGAAGCAGTTTGGAGACGCTGGTGACATGGGTGGGCGTGAGCTGCTCATGCTCCCCTCCCCGGGAGACCAGATAGGACGGCCTGGGGTGGCATGTGGCGTCCTGGGGGTCGGGGGCTGCGCTTACCTTCTCCCCCGATCCCGACGTGTATCTGCTTTTGCCCTGAGAGGTTGGGAACGATGCTCATGGAGTGAGTTAATCTGAAAGTTGGCGCCTGCTGTGTGCTGGGCCCTGGACACCGCGGATGTGGCGGGAAGGGAGGCTGACAGTCCCTTCCCGAGAGACGTACATTTCCAAGGTGTCCTGGGTGGAGACAGTGATTGGGGGCTTGGATTGTGTGGCCCAGAAGGTGTCTCTGGGGTGCAGGGAAGGCCCCGAGGTGGGAATGAGGGGTCTGCAAGGAGGCCAGGGGCAGGTGGAAAGGGAGGCAGGCACCAGGGGTCCAGCCGGTGGAAGCTGATCTCATTTGTATCTGGGATCCATCACCGGCCGCTCCAGGAGGAGGATTTGGGGAGGGGGCGGGGACAGTGACTACGTGCAGATCAATGCCGCTGTCGTGCTTGCTGTCCTCGTGGCTGGCGGGGAGGCAGGAATGGGGCCCATTTTACAGAGTTGCAAACCGCTGCTCTCAGAGGGCCACAGACTTGCCTGTCTGTGGTCCCACCAGGGCAGCAGCTTCCCCAGCCGGGCCCGGGGGAGGGCACTTGGGCACCGTTGGGCCCCTGTGGCAGGCAGGAGCCGTTGGTGGCATCCGGGCCCCAACGCCCCGCCGGGCCTGGCGCGCCGCTGGGCGGGTTTCACAAGCCCAGGCAGGGGCAGGCCCGGGCCACCGGGCTTCCGCGCGGCCGGGGCAGGAAGAGCTGGCAGCTGATGTAAGCCCTTGCGCAAACCTCTGGCTGCCGGCTTCCGGAGCCTTCCACCCGCCTGCCCGCCAAGGAGGAAGCCTGGGGCCTAGCGGGGCTCAGAGGCCCTGCTGCCCGGGCTTGGGCCGTATGGGTGGACTGACCGGCCACCATGGCCCTGGGTCCCGAGGGCTTGGCCCTGGAGTCTGGTGAGGGGGCTGGGCGGGGCTGGGCTGGACTAGGGGCTGGATGTGGGGTGGTGGCGATGGCGCATGTGGCCAGAAGGTGTCCTCCCATCGCTCTGGCTGCTGCCGTCTCCGCGCGGGGGACCAAGGTGGACGCCCTGCCCCTTGCAGCCTCAGTTTCCCTATGAGTACCCCAGAGGGTCTGGGTGGGCGTTTTGGGATGCTGTGCCCCCGGGAGGTGGTGAGTGAGCGCCTGTTGTATACAGGCCTTGTGTGCAGGCCTGCTGGGGGCCCAGAGGTTGAGCGGGGGTCTGTGAGCCCCTGTGGGCCAGGCTGGGGCCACCTGGGCCCCCGAGTGACGCAGATCATCTGCATCCTCCCTGCGGTCACTTCGCTTCTCTGGGCGGCCGAGGACAGTGCCGCCTCGCAGGGACTTGGGGAGAGTCACCTGAGGGGGCACCGGGAAGCCCTTAGCTCGGCGGCCAGAGCTGGCCCTTGCTGGGTGCTGGTGACCCACACTTGGCTCTGCTCAGGCCTCCGCCCCTCCTCCTGGGGGTGCTGTGGGAGGACTCAGATTGCCCGCAGGCTGCTGGGTGCTCAGGAGCTGTAGTGCGTGGGCGCTGCTGCTATTCATTCTTCTTCTTCTTGCCAAAGGGATCCTCCCTTCTTCACTGCGGTTCTCAGGGGAGGCATTGTTAACCCCATTTTGCTGATGAGCAAACTAAGACCAGGGAAGGGAAGCACAGGTCTCACCAGCCTCCCTCTGGCCGGGACCTGAAGGCCTGCGGGGTTTCCCTCTAGAGGGCGGGGTGCGTCGATCTTGTGGGGCAGGGCCCTGGGTGGGGATGCGAGGAGGCGTCCCTTCAGGTACGGGCCTGGCTGCGTGGGGCGTGGCCAGGGCGGGCGCACTTCCTCCTCAGGCCCCAGCAGCTGGTCCTTCCAGCAGCGGTCATCCGTCACAGCCCCCATTTGAGGGCCCGGGATGGGTTCTGCTTTCTGGAGGGACAGCCCCTTGAGACGGCCTCCCTGCACCAGAACCAGCTCCCATGCGCACTGCCCTTATTCCTTCACTGATTCATCTGCTGATGCACTATAGTTCTGGGACAGGCTGCTGGGTGTGCATTCAGAGCCACCACTCACACTGGCTTTGGGACCAGGCACTTCCCAGCCTTGAGCCTCAGTTTTCTCATCTGTAAAATGGGTACATGGTGCCTCCCGTGGACTTGGTGGATCTGGGCCTGGCCTGGGCTGCAGTGAAGTCCCCCGGGAGGTCGTTCTCCAACTTGTGGTGTCCTCCCTAGTCCAGGAGCTCTAAACATGAGCAGAGTTGCGACCGTGAGCCCCTCTCCACCTCGTCCCTCTGTGGCCTCAGGAGGTCCCTGCCCCCTCTCCCCCCGAGCCTCAGCTCTCACCTGCAGATGGGGAGAGCCGTGCCCCCTGGGGTCTGGGTTGGCCGTGTGTGGGGATGGTGACACCCTCCTGCCGAGATGCTGGGTGCCCCGGAGGCAGGCCTGCTGTGGGGGCCTTCCTTCTCGTCCCCGTGTCTCACTGGCAGTTTTCTCAAGGCCTGGGTCCGGTGGAGTTGAGCCAGGCCCGTCTGGAGGCCAAGGGGCTGGGGTTTGGTCTCACTGCCTGTGTCAGCTCCGCGCCGTGGGGGAGAGACGGGGACCTCGGGGCGGTGGGCCAGGTGGCAGTGGCCTGGTGGCCGCCTGACAGCACCCCCTTCTCTCTGCAGGCGAGGCCTTCTTGGGCAGCTTTGTGGCCAGCGGGATGGGGCCCTCGGCCTCGTCCCATGGGAGCCCGGTGCCCCTGCCCTCTGACCTCTCCTTCCGCTCCCCCACCCCCAGCAACCTGCCCATGGTGCAGCTGTGGGCCGCCCATGCCCACGAAGGTAAGGAGCATGCCAGGTGGGAGGGGCTGAGGCCTGCTGGGCCACTGTCCCCAGCACTTCTTAAATCTGCCCACTCCCCTCCACCCCCACAGTCACCCCCCTTGCTGTGGCCGGCGGGGCTCCAGCCCTGTCATCTGGCCTCCCTGCTGTTCTTCAGATGCTCATTGCTTCCTCTAGTCACTGTCACAGGGCCTTTGCACGAGCTGTTCCTTCTGCTTGCAGCCCCTTACCCCACCCCACTGGCTGTCTCCTGTTCATCCTTCAGGGCTCACCTCCAACACTCCCCCATCCCCTGTTCCACCTCTCACTTGTGATGATGGATTTATCTGTGTATTTTTTGTGAAATATCCATTTTCCCACCAAGGTGAGCCCTGAGGGCAGGGCCTAGTTCGTTCTGCTCGCCCCTGTCTCCCTGGGGCGCAGTAGGCTTGTTAATAATGTGGGGACAAGGGGACCAGGGACCGTTGGGCTTTCTTGTTGCAGTTCTGCAGTGATGCCCCTGAATGGCGGGGTGGGGGGGGTGCTGTGGCCCGGCTTCCTGCTGGCCCTGAGCAAAGCCTGGAGCCTCAGTTTCCCCTCTCCCAGTCAGGGGGTGGGCCTGGGGGACCCTGTGCTCCTCCCCCACCTGCGGCTCTGGCAGATTTGGGATGCTGGGGGCCAGCTCCCTCCTCCTGCCTCCTAGGTGTCCTGTGGTGCTCCCGGTCCCGGCAGATTGGGGTCCTGGGAGCACCCGGTGCAGGCCGAGGGTTCTCCTGGGCCTTCCGCAGCCCAGTCCATCTCCCCGCCCCTCCTCCAGGCCGGAGTCTCACCGAGAGCTTCCGCCATCCTCCCAAGTTGATTCGTGTGTGCCCTGCACAGAGGGGCGGTCGTGTCTCTAGGCCTGGGATGGCGGGCAGTCCTTCAGGGCTGGGGTCCCGTCCGAGCCTCCAGCGGGGGCTGGAGGGGCCTGAAGGGCAGAGGCCGCGTCTGTGCCCGTGTCCCATCAGCCTGCTCCTCTGCCTTCCCTGGCTCCCTTTGCTCCTTGACCAACAAGGACTGGTAGTAACAGTAAGGACAGCAAACCCCTCGTGTGCTTATGTCCCAGGTGCTGCGTACTCGAACTCTTTTATCCTCAGAACAAGCTGTGCCATGGGTACCCTTACGCCCATTTCACAGATGACAAAGCAGAGGGACCAGTACCTATCTAGGAGCGTTGTTTCAGTGATTGAGAGGATGTGTATCAGGTGTTCTTTATTGTTTTGTGATTGTTGTTCATGTCATCATCAGGTGATGCTGTGAGTGGAGACACAGCCTAGTGTGGCTAGGGACAGGGCCTGCGCCCCTGGGCTCAGAGGGAGTGACTGGGGGCCTGGGGGACCCATGTTCCTCAGGGATCTCCAATGGGCCCGTGGTCCTCTAGGACCCACAGCCCAGGCAGAGCATCAGCACCCTCCCCTGCACCCAGCGCCTGCCGGCCTGGCCTTCGGGGCCCTGCTGAGCTGCTCTTGGGCCTCCGTTCTCCCTGTGCCCCTTAGGCGTCTTGTTTCTCTCTCTGTGGCTACCCTTTCCTGTCTTCTCTGTTCCACAAGACCCTGATTCTGGGCGTCACTGGTGGGGGCCTTGTAGGAGGCCTGGAGGATCCTCAGCAGGAGGAATTCCTTCCTGGCTGCACCTGCCTGGTGATGCTGGGTGGGGTGACTTGCTCCGGGTCACACAGCAGAGCAGGGTCCCGTTAAACTCTTAAACCACTCATCCGGGTCCGTGTTGGGCTGAGGTTAAGAGTCCCGGTGTGGGGCCGGCCCCGTGGCTTAGTGGTTAAGTGCTTGCACTGCACTGCTGGCAGCCCGGGTTCGGATCCCGGGCGCGCACTGACACACCGCTTCTCCGGCCATGCTGAGGCCGCGTCCCACATACAGCAACTAGAAGGATGTGCAGCTATGACATACAACTATCTACTGGGGCTTTGGGGGAAAAAATAAATGAATAAATAAAATTAAAAAAAAAAAAAAAAGAGTCCCGGTGTCCTCAGTTCAAAGCCAGGCTCCTCTGCTGTGTGACCTTGGGCAAGTGGTCCTCTCTGAGCCTCAGTTTTCTCATCTGTAAAATGGAGTTATTAAAAGTATCTGCCTATCGGGATTTTTTCTTTTTGAGGTTTAAATGAAAATAACAGAAGCCAAGCAGTGGACAATGCTTGGCTGGCGATTAGAGCCGCCATCATCTTCATCCTCCATCATCACCCTCCTAGTTGGATCCATTCTGATGCTTTTCCTGGGAAATTTGACACCCAAGCCCCTGGGGGCTGCCTGGGACTGGAAGGAAGCTTGCAGAGCCAGGGTTGGGAAGGGGGCATGCCTGGCCCTGGGGGCTGGTGGTAAACCCCAGGGAGCCGGGCAGACAGCCATGACACTTTATTCCCAAGAAAAAGAGAGGGCCAGAAGGCAGCTCCTTGGAGGAGGCATGAGGTGGTCCAGCCCGCTTCTCTCTTCTCTCTTCCAGGCTTCTCCCACCTGCCCAGTGGGCTGTACCCGTCCTACCTCCACCTGAACCACCTGGAGCCCCCCAGCAGCGGGAGCCCCCTCCTCAGCCAGCTGGGCCAGCCCAGCATTTTCGATACCCAGAAAGGTCAGGAGGCAGGAGTGGGGAGACTGGGGGTGGCGGGACCTTCTGAGGGGCTTCTCTGGGGCCCCCACCACCTGCAGTATTGCAGGCAGCACTCAGCTCGATATTCCAAGACCCCTGCTCCTGAGGGCCCCCACAGGCTCGCTGGGCCCATCCATAGCCTTCTGGTGCCTTCTGGTTGTGTTCTGCTCCTCTAACCCTCTTTGGTCCTCTGGGCAGCTCTTGAAACAACCTTGGCCTCACTCCCTTTCACAGATGAGGAAACGTGAGGCTCAGAGAGAACCTGAGTCTGGCCAAGGCAGAGTTAAACTCGGTTCTGTCCATTTACAGAGCCTACCTTCCCAAGGGCTGTGCAGTGCATGGTTCTCCCTACCCCTGGGGTCGCAGGACACCCTCTGGCACCTTTCAGGGTCCCCCTTCTGTCCTGGGCCAGGCAGAGGGACACTCGCTCACAGCTGCCTTTTTCTTCTCCGCAGACGGCTTCTACCTGCCCGCCCCAGGGCCTCCGGGCGCCCTGCACTCCCACGCACCCTCCTCCAGGACCCCAGGCGGCCACTCCTCCGGCGCCCCGGCCAAAGGCTCGTCGCGGGAAGGTCCAGCCAAGGAGCGGGCGGGCCGTGGGGGGGAGCCGCCCCCTCTGTTCGGCAAGAAGGACCCGCGGGCCCGCGAGGAGGCGGTGGGCCCGCGCGGCGTGGTGGACCTGACCCAGGAGGCGCGCGCGGAGGGCCGCCAGGACCGCGGGGCCCCGCGCATCGCGGAGCGCCTGTCGCCCTTCCTGGCCGAGCCGGCG